GGGGCCGAGGCGCCTTCGGAGACCGACCTCGGCTTGCGAGGCTGCCTTGCCCCTTCCCTTGGCGCGCGTGCTAACCTCCCTCGCGCCTCTCCGTCCTTGGGTCTCCTCTTCTGCTCTGGAGATCGGATTTGCTAATTCCGGCAGATCACGTAAAGTGGAAATGGATGCGACTTCTCTACCTCTTTTCTTCATGAGTCCATGCGTTCAGATATTGTTAAACGTGACCCGAAATCTTTCTTCATCCCTTCGGAATAACGGTCAGCTCAGTGCACGTAATAAAGTTAGGCTGGTAGCTCAAAGCGAAGCGACTCCCTTGCCTGGAGGGGGCTACCCGTTCTCCCTGGTAGCAGAGGATCTAGCTGGTGTAAATCCAATAGTCACCCTAATCTTCCTTCTTTCCAATTCCAAGTACGGTTTGCTATGAGAAATCACTTGTGGAAAGCTGTTAATTTACAGTCTTACCAGAAAGCCTGAACTACAAATACTACTTTCTTCATTAGCCTAAATATTTGCACAGTGTGGAAATTTACCAGTTTTTTTTTTTTTTTTTTTGCAAAGTCAAGGACTCCAGAATATGTTTACCAGGCTGTTGGACTTTCTGATGCAAATTAGATTGGATGTGAGCCACTTCTGTTTATAAAACCTTCAGACTTTCCAACCTAATTTTCTATATTAGCATTTTTGCTGCATGATCATATAATTTCCCCCTTGCAATCTTCCCGATATTCAGTGGATTTAGCATCAAATTTAACTTTCTGATGATCTCTTCAAAGGTGCACGCCTAGTTTTATTCCTGTAGTCTTTTGCTTCCTTGTTGAAGTCTATGTTGTTTCTGTCCCCTCTTCCCTCCCTTTGTTTTCAGCATGTCTGTCCTTTTCTCATGTGTTTGAAAACTCGCTTCCTGGCTTGCTTTCATCCCTGTTCTGTCAATATCCAGTCCGCTTTTAAAGCGCTCATTCTTTCTATGGTGAATCGGGTGAACTTGAATATGCATTGCTCATAAAATGTCAGTTTCTATTCTTTCTCTAAGCTTTGTTTTCATGCCCATCCCTAACGTTACAAGCACTGAAAAGCTAGGACCTTTCCTAAGTGTTTGGAGAAACTGACACATATGGGTCTTACAGCTGATGAGTGTTAAAAAATACTTCTCTGTGTTGTACAATAGCAGATCTGTAATCTGCCAAATTACTTTTAACAGAGGTTGGATTTAATGTGATTGTAACTGCTCTACATTTTTTAAGACTTTGTCTTGCTCTTCCTTCCATCAATAGACAACAAAGTTCACAAGTGCTTTGGATATACCCGTGGAATTTGTAGAGAAGAATGTGAAGTTGCGGGGAAAATTACATCACATAACGGAGAAAGGTCTAGAAGTTGAACACATTCCCATTAGCATTCCTTTCATTACAGCAATACAGAGAAAATGTAAGTACATGAAGAACAAGAATAGTAATGAAAAGTTGCTCTTAATAACAGTGTCATCCACTAGGCTAGCAAAAATACTACAACATTAAAATTATCATGAAACTTTAATTTTAGCATTTTTATGTAAATTATACTCTTGGGCAGAAATCATTAGGAAACAAGGTGTTCTGTCTATACTCAAAAGAGTGCCAAGCTTGAGAGAGAAAGGGTTGGTTAAGTTACAATTCTGGCTCTGTCTTTTGTTCTTTCCTTACTTTACAGATGGGAAACAGAAAAAGAAAGACTGAGAAATATCTATATAAAAGAACTTGCCAATATAATCTTTTTATTAATAGCATCAGTATCATGATACTTTTCTGGCAGCAAAAGCTCAAGCATATAGGCAGTTCATAGACTAGAATGAAAATCATTTGCTTGCAGAACTAGTCTAATTCCTTGGAAAAGTACTCTATTGATATTATGTTTTTGTTTACATATGAAGATCTGACAGCTGCATATGGAAACCTACTTTTAAGAGACAGGTCTCCAGTGACTTTTCAGATGTTACCTACCAAGTCCGTGAGTGTAGTCACATTCACTTTGCAAATACCTGCAGTTGTTTAAGGTTGCTTAATGCTTCTTGGCTATTGTATCTGGACATTCAGATGAAGTAATGGTGACTGCTCGTGAAAACAGTCCTTTGTATTTGTACACAAAATAAAACCATTTATGCAATCTTGAATTAAAATAATTTTTACTGAAGGAGATACGAGGCCAAATTTTTAGTTGCAATTAAATAGTACTTTGGGAAACTAAAACTGAAATGTTATGTGAATACACGGGAGTAAACTTATTAACAACAGCTGAGGGTCTGTGCAGAGCATGAAATTCCTTTTTACTGCTGCGCTCAGTAAAAAAGATATCTTTTTATATAACCAGGGCAATCAGACAGTCTTTTGCTGATAAGACTTGCTGGAGTGGAGTTGACTCCGAGCGGCATGGTCTGGTTACGCGAAGAGTTGAAACCCTCGCAAATGATATGGTTCCAACTTCTCGGAAGGCAGGACTTGGCACTTGAGTGCCTTGTTTTAGTAAATAAGGTAAATACAGTAACAAAAATTGATTCTTTTTTTTAATCTACAGTTTTCAGTGTGACTGTGATTATGCTATTAAGTTATCTTGGCGCACACAAAGAATGCTGTTATTGTTTTTTTAAAATTCCTGTAAAGTTAAAATACAATGTAATTTTTTTTAAATCAGGTTCCAAGACTGGTGTGTTTGCGGGCTGACTCACGAAACAAGTATACTGCTCTAACAGCTAGTGCTAGGCTATACTGTATAGTTCGGGTCAGCTTAATATTTAGTCCAACAAATGTTCTCTCATAAATTTCTTCCATTGGTAGTACATTTTGAAAATGAACTAGATTCCTCACAACTTAAACCTCTTTCTGCTAGAGTGTAGATTTAACCGGAAGTAGTATCATGTTTACTGTGCCTTCTTACAGGGTCGATTTCTCAGTGTGTGCTTAAATGAAGAGATCTTGAGACAAGGGCTTGGCAGAACAGCACGCATTGAAGGACTACATCATGATTCTCACCTGTACTGGAAACTTCACAAAAGACTGCTACGAGCAGAGTTAAAGGCCTTGAAGAAAAATAAAGGAATATGGAAAGAAGAAAGCTACTCTGAAAAAATTAAAGATCATATAAGCAACAATAAATTTGTGCAGACACTGAAACAATTTGCAAACTGGTTAAGAAGTTATATTTAAAGGTAGAATGGGCAACTTGTTTGGAAAAATGCCAGTTATCTATGGTATGTGCTTTGTGTAAGGTATAAGTTTATTTAAAAAAAAGCAGTGCCGTAATTTTGAGGGTCCTTGTCTTAAAGAGTCACCTGAAGTCATATTATAACTTACACAGCATTGAAGTTCAGAAGCAGCATTCGGTATACAAATTAAAATGTTCTTAAGCTAAGCTTTTCCACAATAATTTCCTAAATTAGTCCAGTTTTCCAGCTGCTGAATACCTACACAACTGTGTTAGCTGTGGTGACAGTAGTTGACAGTTGAGTTTTTAAAAGGTGGGATAAGTTAGTTCACAATGTAATGCCTTAGCTGCTTATCTGTTATATGTCATAATTGTGTCACAGGCATTGGTTTGAAAATTGAAATTATTACCCTTTTTCAGAGCTTGTAGGATTTATTTGCAGATTAGTATTTTGTTTAATTTCTCTTCTTATCCCATTTCTGGGTATAATTTATGTTTTAAAAAACTTTCATCTTAAATAATAGGTTGCATTGTTACCAATAGAAAAGATAATTTGTTGCAGCTAATCTTAGAAAGCTGATAAGCTCACAGCAGCAAAAGTTTTTTGAAATAAATCTACTTGAAGCATATAAAAGAATAGAAATGAATGGCAGTAATCCAGAATTTGTAAAATGAAAGACTAACCTTAAGAGTTGCAGAATCTTATACTTATATCTGAGCAAAAATCTATGCTTTTTTTTCCTCATAGTTCTGTAACTATCTAAAATTGGATTGAAATAAAACTTTAACATGAAATGTAAAAAGGTGGACCATACTGAGCTAAAAATTTAAATCCTCATTCTTGTTTGTTTTACTTTTGAAACAAGTGTCAAGCATGTGAGTGTATTACTATTTATTTTGTAAATATTCTCAGAATAAACGTTTAATTTCTTAGGTTCATTGTCACATTTTATAGACCAAACACTTGGCCTTTGTTTAATCTTTCACAGTCCATATGATTATCTCAAGTGTTTTACAGAATTCTTTCTTTCTGTATATTACTTCAGGAGGCAAATACCAGGGAGAAGAATGCGGTATAAAAAAATAACTTAATAACTGGACACTATTTGTCTGACATTAATTGCTATGCTGTATTTTTTTTTCTGCTGATTACAATGGCAGAATTGTGAAACCTGCCATTCTGAGGCTTTTCCTAAGGTATGCACAGACATCAGTGTTTCTTTATCACTTTTGCTCCCTGGCCCTCTCGGGGGTGGGACTCCCTTGTGCAAAGCACAGTGAAGTCAGCCATGAAGTACTTGCAGCACGGATCTTATCTGGGGCAAAACGCAATGGGGAAAGAGGAAGCAGCTCTACGGAGGCAAACTTTGATGGGAGTTGGGAACCAGGTATCTGGGCCTGTTTAAAAAAAAATATCGGGCATTGTTTTATGCACTGTACATTAAAGGGCTTCGCCAATCAGTGCTATGCTACTTGGATATAAAAGTCATACAGATGGTAGAGGAATAGGAAATATGTTGTAGCTCCTTTTAGGCCAAACTGTACCAAAGTTTACTTTTAACCCCACACTACACATTCAGTACCAGCAATAATCCTACTTCCTCATGGTTGCTTGTAGATGTCCCTGTTTCTTCATGTGACAAGTAAAAAGAGATTTTTCAAACTGAGCATAGTTGCACAGTTATATATAGTCTTTTCTATGTAACTTCTTGCTGTAATAATTAAATATTTTATAAGATAATTCCACCTGGACCTTGCATTTTTGTTTTACAAACCTATCATATGAGTTCGTATCACAAAAATACACCTTAAAGCTGAGAGAAAAACCTAAGGAAATCACATTGCTACATTTCTAGCAGGCAGAGGTGAGGAATGGGTTAATGTGAACTGAGTCTGGTCAGTCACGATTGTGCCTCTTAGCCCTTTTTACCCTTAATGTAGTTCAGAAAATCCCTAGAGATTTTTCTAAATTGGCAGCAAATTGCTGTACCCGTTCTTTAAGGCTGTGGCTTATCAAGGGTTTTTTAAAGGTGGCAATACAGCTGTTTCATCACTTGTGCAGAGAAAGCTTTCCCTTAGTTTGAACTAAATTTTAAAGTTCCCTTCCCTGTGTTAGTGCCGTTGAAGTAGTCTAACAGAAACACTTTCAAAAGAGACTCTGTGGAGGAATCTAACTCTCTGTATTCAGACTTATCATCTCTTTTGGTGTTTGTTGCTTGTAATAAGTTCAGATGGGGTGCACAATTAAAATCCAGGAAAGCAGATCAGTCTAAGTGATCAGTGCTGTAATAGACAATAGTAGCCTTACAAAGAGTAACTGAGCACTGAGAGATTTGGCACCCTGTTGACAACTGCTTCCACAAGTCAACTCCTGTAGCTGTTTGTTAATGCTGCTTTTACTATCATTCAGGGCTTATCTGTTTAAAACAAAACTCAGTTCAGGAAAAAAAAAAAGGCTGTGCTTTCCATCTGTGCAAATCTTGAAAGGCTGCATATCTTTCCCCTGTGGGAGGCCTGTCTATTGAGAAACCGATAACAAGAGTAGAAACAAATAGCTTTGCAGAACCAAGCGGTGGCACTGACTGGGAGGTCAGGGAAGAAAGAGCACTGTTCTTCATTATATAATTATGCCCTATTCTGCCTACAAGGAGCACTATCTGATTCCTTTAGCTGCCATAGCAGCAATGAACGTAAGGGTATTTCCAGGCAGAGGATGCAGTTCTTGGGTGATTGGAAATTAGAATGAGAACAAGACAAACTATTTAGCTCTTGTGCTTTGGCCCCCGCAACTCTGAATACAGTGTGAGCAAGCTAACTTGTTAAAAAGATTGGAGTGAAAGGAGATGCCTCCAAATGGCCCACTAAGAAAAATATCTTCAGAGTTGCACAGGCTTTTTATTGCCATTGCGGTCTTTAAGGCAAATGGTTGTCATAAACATGACCAGCTTTTCCAGGAGCCTACCAGAAATCTCTGCCCCTTTAATGTCCGTTCCTGACAGACGAACAATGAAGCTCGGCTGAGGCCCAGGGAGCGGAGCGGGGGCCCTGGCTGCGTGCTGCCCGCTGCAGCCGACCGAAGGTCCCACTGCAGAGATGGAAGGGAAGAAGCAGCAAAAAGTCACCTCACCCCAGTCAAAGTTCTCGTTCATTCCAGTAGTTTTCCTCTTTTCCCCACATCGGTTTGTCGATTCCTTAGGCAAGGCTTTTCAGTCACCAGCTACATCGTTACATATAAAATAAATCATAGTTCTGAAAATAGAGGGTTTTTTAAACTTTTCCACCTTAATCAGAAAGGTAACTTTAACTCACGTCAGAAAGAAACAAAAAGCTTTTAAAGAGTCATTGACACACTGTATTTCAGGGAAGTCAGACCTGTAGGAAGCAGTAGTTATCAGTCCTACGGTGATTATGTTCCATCAGCTAATGTAAATGACAGTCGTTAAGTTCATCATGGATTTTTTTTAAAGGAAAACAAAAAAATCAGTAAAACCTGATCTTTTCCTTCTCTTCACATCCCATCTCTGCCTGCTCGGAGAGAAGGTGGCCACACAAACGTTTGACTCAGCCCTTGGCATAACAGCTCCAGCATCACAGTTTATCCTCCTAAAAAGATAAATAAAAGGCAAAGCACCGCTCCTGAGAAGGGTAATTTTGCCTGGCTATACGATTCGCCAAGTACGGTCGCTTCCCCCTGCTGTTTCCCTCTCCGCACCGCCGTCCCTTCCCCTCCCTCTCCTCGTCTGCCACGGCGCCTGGCAGCGAAGCAGTTGGGGCTGAAATCGGAGCCGCGGCCATCCTTCCGCGCGGGCGGCCAGCGCGCTGCCCGGGGCGCGA